GCAGAGTCTTTCTGCTTTACAACAGGAGACCTGAACCCTGCTAAAGACACTTAGTAAATACGCAAACATAGAATCATATTAACACATTGACACTATTATATGTAACACTGACATACCCTGCTGTACTATACATTAGGCCTGGGCGATATGGGCAAAAATTCATATCTCTGTATTTTTTGGCCGATTTGCAATATATGGTATATATCGGTATTTTTGTTTTTGTTTTGAAAAAAATCTGTATTTAATATATATATATATATTTCACTTACCGCCCAATGTTGTCCAACAAAATACATATTAAAGGCTATGAAAACAAAAAGTAAATGTAACCATGTAAGCTTTTATATTATGTGCAAAAAAGGGTTAAAATAACATTTCGTTCTAACATTGTAACATTGCAATCTAAAAACTAAGATAAGGCTTTTAAAGCGGAAGTTAAATTCACTAAACTAAAAATTAAAATAAATGAGTTGTGTTAGGTTATTTTGATTACCCCATTAGTCACTTTACAGTCAGTGCTATCATAAAAATAGGCTTACTTGTAAGTATACAATTTTTATTGTCACATTTATTGTCCAACTACAAATATTTCAGCGAAATGTATATTTTAGTCAGAATTATTGCACTCCTATTTAATTGAGCTCTGTCTGTTTGGCGCGCATGCGGCGTTCGTTCCATCAAGTCTGTGAAGTTTAGCGGAGAATCCCAAAGCAGAAGGTTCATGCACTTCTGGCAGAAAAACTGAATTATTTCCATGGCTTTCTAACATTTACAGATGGAGAATATACCTGTGAAATGTAAGTTATGCATTCAGGAAGACACATCTCAAACACATTAAACAGCGCGAGTAGCCTAGTGTCTCTGTCAGCAGCACACACAGCCTTTCTGTCAGAGTATATGACGGGGCGAGCCGCTTAAACTAATATGTGAAACAAAACTATAAACTATGTCTCACCAATTGTTAAAGGCCTTAATATGAAGCTCGTCACATGTTTAGAACAAATTGGATCATTGCACTTTCACCGCAGCAGCTCAGTCTGTGTCCTCCACTATATTTTCAGATGCGCTCATATCAAACTACTGTATATCGATATATAAACGGTATTGCCTCATATCGAATCGCTTATAAAGAAAATATCGATATATCGTACAAACTCAATATACCGCCCAGTCCTACTATACATAAACAATAACATACACACATATACTCACTGTTTTTCTGTTCTGCTTTTGAAGAGGAGCCTTGCTGTTCCTGAGCTTTCATCATGTGAACCCCTTTACAAATCTCCTGAAATGACCTCTGAAAAACTAGTTTTTAGATGATGTGGTGTGGTTTGAGTACTGTTGTACTAAACAAAAAAATATGTTAAAGATCAGTGCACAGGAAAACAGCATTCGGGAGAGAAAATAATCAGTTATATATTAATAATTTTGTCTTTGTTGAAGGGTTTTAGCACTTTCAAGTACCTAATATCACCCTACTGTAATAAACATGCTAAATGAAAAATTAGCATAAAGCAGATGGTTCTTACATAAAAAAAAACTATATAAAATATATACAACTATATACAAAAAAAATATATATTTTGGAAATACTGTTATTGAGTGCAAGTTCTGGAATGAGTATGTGCATGCTGAGAAGGATAATTACGGTTTTGCTCTTGCCCTTTTCCTTTCTGTATTTCCGTTGATCCTGCTCCCACTGTTTGCTGTGTTTCCATTTCCATTACTGTCACTAGAGGACGCTATGCTCAACAGGTGCTCATGAGAACCATTACTGCCATGACTGCCATAACCACTGGACCCCATACTGTGGACCGGCTACAAGACAGAAACTTACACAGTCTATTCCATTGTTGAAAAATACTTTAAACTGAAACTAGCAACTAGCTATGGCAACAGTCAGACACATCAACTACAAATTCCACATTATGCTAAAGAGTGTTTGTGGAGAATGTGAGGCCATCTGTGGAACTTTAAACCTGATCAAATTTACACTGCTAAAAAATGCACTACTTTTACATCCTTCAGTCTGCATGTGTTTTTGTGTCTGCAAAATACGGAGATTTCACCTGTAGAAGCAGTCTGTGAACCTGTTCAGTAATTTCCTGTATATCTGAATCCATGATCTTTTCCACTGTAAAAGCCAGAGCTGAAAACACATCCTCATTCATTGGACCCCTGCACGTAGACACAGAAACCATACATCAAAAAGGTTATCACAAAATAAAAATGTGTATTATATCTACCTTTATCTAAATTAAATCAAAGACCGTTAGGAATGTATACAGAAGGTGAAAACTCACATGCGAACTTTGTGTCGTCCAATAACAAAGGACACCTTGCGGCTACATGGGTTTACAAAGCTACACCAGCTTGTGTCTAGAGTAACATATTCTCCATTTCTCACACAGAATCGGATCGAGGAGTGATCAAATGGCTGCCCAACATACTGCAGAACTGTAGCAGAGAGGGAGACATTTAGGAAAGCAAGGACAATACTGGATGTGATTGGCTGAGGGTAGCATAATGCCAGTTATAGGTTTCAGTTTTAGTTTGTCTTTATTAGTAGTAGATAATGATACTCAACTTTACCTAATCTTGAAATTTACTTTATATTGAATTTGTGCTACACGACATGACAAAAATTGTGTAAAAAGGAGTATTCGTCTGAGTGTCAGGCACCCCCTGATGGAACACCAGGATTAGAACATTTTAACAAAATAAACACTTCTCATGAATTGTGTTTGTGTATGAATTTGTATCCTAACTTTTCTGGTGCACATCCAGCATTATAGGTCTGTCACTGGGATGCAGGTGTAACAGAAGAGGTGTCCCTGAGGCAGAAATCCTAACAGAGGCACTGCCCTGCAAAGTATGCAAGTATTAATATGCTTTTAGATTATATTATTCAGTTTGTTTGTCTTTACTTCCCAAAGTAAATTTGGTTGCAGCGTTTAGACAAAGCTGAGGGGATAAAAGATTGTCTAAGTAGATTTGTTCTAATAACAGATATATTCCAAACTGAATGCCAGAGGGAAAGGTTTGAAACTCCTGATGCACTAGGTAGCTATTATCTGACATTATACTTTGGGCTTTTCACAACACCTGCCTTTGGTTTATCTTGGCCAAGCTTATGCGCTCCTTCTCATTTACATTTAGTCATTTAGCAGACGCTTTTATCTAAAAATGAGGACATTTATTTTACTATCCTTATTTTCAAAAGAGTTCTTATCCTTGACATTTATGGTAGGATACCAATACAGCAAGGAAAAAGACTCAACTGATTCAATATAAGACTTGTAAAACATAAACATAAACTTTAGTGCTTTATCCACATTAAATGACTCTTAAATTTGCTCAAATAGTGCACAATTTAATGTCCTGTTAGATGTTCAGTATTTGGAGAAAAAAAAAAGAAGTCTTTTTAGTCTTTAAAATGCATCCTCACACCATCTTGCAAAGTCATCAACAAAGTTGTCAACCACAGACCAGAGTATTTTTTTAGCCAAATTAAAATGTAACGGCAAGTTTCCATTTCCATTTAAACATTTAGCAGCAGACACTTATCCAAAGCAACTTACAAATGAGGACAAGAAGCTTAAAATAATTACTGCCTTATTGATGTAACCAAACAGTGTTTAATCAATCCTGTACAGGTATGATGCATAATACAGTATTTGCAGGTGACGACAACTAACCACAGTCTGGTATTTTCTTCAATCATAGTTAACACTGCTCAGTGCTCACAGACACAAACCTTTCATCAACATCTTGAAACACACAGTTTGGCGTGTGTGTTGTGGTGAAGATTCTCTTATCAGGTGGAATTCTTGGTGCTTCAAATTAGAAAGAAAAAAAAAATCAAAAGACAACCTAATTAGTTATCATAATAGCTTGAAAGCTAAACACTTGAGGGCAATAGCATCTATGTGTGATTACCTTCATATCCAGAGTGAACTCTCTCAGCCAAAATGAGGCAGCAGAAATGTTCCTCAGAGAGCTCTGAGTCTTCAACCTTCATTAAATATGGGGTCATCCTGAATGGATAGTACTGCAGATCTCCTTCCTTCTCTTTACCACCACTACACAAACAAACAAACAAACAAAAAAGCACATTTTAAAGATAATTTCAAACCTAGTATTGCATCACCAGTTTGACTAACAGCATACCCAGATAGCAAGATATTGTCGGCCCCGATCCGGCCCACATCTGGCACATGTGGAATGATGAGCTGGTCCACATGTAGCGTAGAATGATGGCACTTGGGCGGACCGCTCCTGTTTGCCAGATCTGGGCCAAAAGCAGGCCATAGCAATGCCACATGTCAGCCAAGAGCAAAGAAATAAAGCACACTGGACCTTATCTGAGCCACAAACTCTTCATATATTATTTATAGATTCCTCCCAGCTTGTCTAAGCTTGTTAACAAGCAAGATCACTGAAGGAAAGAAGAGAACAGAAAAAAAAGAGACAAACAGAAACTCAAGAACTACAACTGACTTAAGCCACAGACTTAGATGAATTCAGCCGAAGATAAAAGACATTAAATCTCTGAAGAGCTCAGCAGAGGATTAAACAAATCCACAAACAGCATTACCAGCTTCACTTATTACTAATCAGAATGACTTTATTTCTGTTAGAGGTCTACAGAAGTTCTTATTGAGAATTAACAGGGGTTGAAATCTAACGTTTGTTTCATTTGAAGTCACCATATTGATGATTAGTATTTCCATTAGTTGGGCTTTTTAACTCTTATAACAGTTAATTTGTTTTCGCTGGCTGTTGTGATGGTGTGTTTATCAAACACATATGCAGTAACAAATAAAAACAAAATGAGATCAGGTGATGATAGTCAGTTGTTGATGGTTCATCATCATAATGAAATAGTCTGATTCACTAATGTCATTTGACAAATGATTGTGTTGTACCAATAATGCATTTGCTGTATAAAACTGCAGTGTGAGGCCCTGTCCACACAAACGTGGTTATTTTTAAAACGCAGCTTTTTCTACGCGTTTAGGTCGTTCGTCCACACGCAAACACAGCACCAGGTCACTGAAACCGAACATTTTTGAAAACGCCTGCCAGGGTGAAGATTTTCAAAAACTCCGGTTGCAGTGTTATCGTGTTGACAGCAAAACCGGAGTTTTTGGCTTGTGACTTCAGAGCCTGCGCTGTTATCTCCTCCTACTGGAGACTTTTTCAGGCTTCTGATTGGCCAACATGGCTTTACGGTTGAGATTATATTGCCACCTGTTGGTTTGGCATGCTCTTGACAGTGCTTCATAGCATGCGTTTGCGTTTTCATGTGGATGGAGATTTTTTTTAAAACAGAAGAAGGAAAAACTCCATTTATAAAAATACCCATGTACATGTGGACATGGCCTAAGATCAACAGTATTGCAGAACCAGTTAAAATATTTAAAAAAAAAAAAGCACAATGGCATGCTCTTGACAGTGCTTCATAGCATGCGTTTGCGTTTTCATGTGGATGGAGATTTTTTTTAAAACAGAAGAAGGAAAAACTCCATTTATAAAAATACCCGTGTACATGTGGACATGGCCTAAGATCAACAGTATTGCAGAACCAGTTAAAATATTTAAAAAAAAAAAGCACAAAAAATGACTCCAATAACGCACAAAGTCATCATAAATCAACATATGAACCTCAACAATGGTGACAATAAAAATTGTAATGTTGCCATGCACGATGGGTACCATATTACAAAACTCACAGCATGCATCACAGCATGAATAAATGATGCAGCTGAATTGTCCTATTATTTTCTTTAATTCTAACTTTGGCTCATGCATTTATTTTGTATTTTTTTGCTGTGTCTTGTAGTAGCTTTTTGTAATGTCCAGAATTGATCCGATTAGCTGAATATTTTGTCACCATTGTTGAGATTCATATGCTGATTGCGGATATCTGTTTGTGTCAGTATTGTTCACCTTCTATTATATCTTCAAACTGATGTTGCAACTCACATTGCAGTAACACAGGATTTGTAATGTAAAAGCATTAAGTTACACAGCGTCAAGATTCAAATTGTCTTCAGTGAATCAGGCCATTACACAACAATTGTGAAACCATCAGTAGCAAACTATCATGTACAGCAAATGTATCAAACACACTGCCACAGCAGCGAAAACAGACAAATGATTAATAATAAGAGTTAAGAGCCCAACTAATGGAAACTCCAATCACCATTATGGTGACTTCAAATGAAACAAACATTAGATTTAAACCCCTGTTAATTCTCAACAAGAACTTCTGTAGACCTCTAACAGAAATAAAGTCAATCTGATTAGTAATAAGTGAAGCTGGTAATGCTGTTTGTGGAGTTGTTTAATCCTCCTCTGCCGAGATCTTCAGAGATTTAATGTCTATTATCTTCAGTTGATTTCATCTGAGGCTGTGGCTGCAGTCAGTTGTTGTTGTTGTGTTTCTGTCTGTCTCTTTTTTTTTTGTTCTCTTCTTTCCCTCAGTGATTTAGCTTGTTGACAAGCTGAGAGGACTCTATAAATAATATATGAAGATTTTGGGGCTCAGATAAGGTCCAGTGTGGTTTATTTATTTGCTCTTGGCTGACGTGGCATTGCTACGGCCCAGATCTGGCAAATAGGAGCAGTTCATTTGTGCCATCAAGTGCCATCATTCCACGCTACATGTGGGCCAGATCATCATTCCACATGTGCCAGATGTGGGCCGGATCAGGGCCGACAATATGTTGCTATCTGGGTAACGACTTGAACTGCTAATGAACTTAGCCCAATTAAATATGAATCATTTGATTGACATGTAAACAACAACAGTTTTTTCACATGACATTTAGGGGCTCCAGATATCCAGTTGACTAGTTACTAAGTACTTAAAAGAAAACCAAAAAAAATCTTTAAAAGATTTGAAAGTCAAGACAGAAGTAACATACTAGCCAGTCAATCATACTGAAATGTTATTGTCCAACTAGAGTTATTGTTATTGTCCGAATAAATTGTACCGAACAATGTAGACAAGAATGACTCCTAACAAGCGATTGAGGTGTTCTGTTGTTGGATGTAATAAGGAACATAGCAGTCGTCATTTACTCCTGACATCTGAGCTGCTGAACTTGCAGTGGATTTCGTTTGTTTCTGAAGGGAATGCTCTGGTACTCTGGCGTTGCTGATCTGCCTAAATGCGTCTATGTTCGCGCGAATCATTCATGATCCAGCCTCATCTACAGAAGAAGTGAGTATAATGTTTTGTAATGAATCTTTGGAAATCGCCTTTCCTAATAATGTGCTAATTAGCAAGTGTCACGATGAATGTAAAAGTAAAGTCTAAAGTAAACAGTCTCTCTGAGAGCAGCTTGCAATAGAGGGGCGGGGTCAGCAGAGCTCATTAACATTTAAAGGGAAATGCTACAAAAACGGCTTGATCTGAAAAGAGCT